CCTAAGCTTTCAATTATTTTCGCTCATTTCTATATTACTATACAGACATACTTTAGAAGGTCTTGTATGAAATTTTAATAGAAAAAGAATCCTGAGAGATTAGAATAAATTAAAAACGATATGTGCCACTCTGGGAGTGATCAACAAGGAGGGGAAGCATAGTTTTCTTATTGTTTACCCATGGAGCCATTGTTTTTAATTTAATTTATTTGATTGGATTCGATTTTATCTAAATTTATTTTATTAAGAAACACGCTTGGGACTGCGTTTACTACTCCATGCAGTGTATGGTCGTGCGATCGTTACATTTTATCGCTTCAGTCGCTTTTATTTTTTGTTCATACCTGTCACGATTCATCGCTCCGTTCGTAACCCGCGATAAAAAAGATATGCAGCCAAAAAGTGCTTTTGCACTAAAGGAAAACAAATCTAATATTTAAAAGGTATTTTAAAGCGTAATATTTCAATGAATTTTGCTAGTTTTCTAATACGGTTGCCTTATTTGTATTTTGTGCAGTGTACCCACCTTATGTAATGTCTACATTATAGAATACACATCATAAATTTGTTTTTTATTCTTGTGACAACGAGTTTTCGAGCTCGTATTGAACAACGAGATATTTCTGTTTTTGTCACATATAGATATTTGTATTTGTTACACCAAAATCACATAATGTGTTAGATCATTAAAGGTTTTGTATGTGTTTAATTTTTTTAGTGTAAACTGTAATATGTTATGTTGTAAACACCTATCGTTAATACACAGTTGGCACAGCATACTTTATGTTTTTATATATACATTGTAAAGATTTCATATCCCAGAAAAAGGGTAGGCATACATCTATTAAACGACAAGAAAAATAATAGAAGCAAGGAAATATTACGACAATGGAATCAATAAGTTAAAAATGTAGTAACTAAAACGAAACCTGAATATCACAAGTGACTGGTGTTTTTTTAGAGGTATAGAAATGGAAGTTGGCAATACTGTTTTAACTGTCGCCATGTTGACGGTTGTGACGTGATTTATATTAAATTATGCAAATTTATTTTGAAAATTATGGTTCTGTTCGAAATATGTATCGTGCACTTCGACGATTTTATGATCGACATAATAATCCACCAGAGCAATTAATTTGATTAACCATAAAACGTTTTCGCACTACATTTACTCTTTAATGATAATACGCATCCACAGAGACGTCGTACAGAAAAAGTTGTTGTTGCTGTAGAGCGTAGCATACAGGAAGACCCGAATCAGTCTCGCCTTCATCGTGCACAGCAGTTGAATATGTGTCCATCCACTTTATGAAAGATTTTGCGGAAATATATCGGTTTGTGTGCTTACAAAATCCAACTCGTGCAGAAATTGAAGCTGCACGATCGTCTAGCAATGCGTAGATGCGGTGAATGAGCCCAAAACGAGATTGCCGTTGATCCCGATTTTCATAAGCGAATTTTGTTTAGTGACAAAGCTCGCTTTTCTTTGAATAGCTAGTCAACAAACAAAACTGCCGTATTTGGAGTGACGATAATCTGACCATGTTGAGAAACCATTAAATCTAGAAAACTGACTGTTTGGTGTGCTTTACAGGCTGGTAAATGATTGGTCCATACTTCTTCAAAAACGATGCTGGCCAGAACGTTACAGCCAACGATGACCGCTATAAAGCCATGATTACTGACTTTTTTATTCCTCAATTGAACAGCCATGATATATATACAGGAGCTGTAGTTTCAACAAGACGGCACAACATTTCACACAGATCTTGTTACAATTGGTTTATTAAATGAAACGTTTGATAACAGCATAGTTTCACGTTTCGGACCCGTGAAGCGGCCTCTAAGATCGTGCGATTTATCAGCGCTAGATCATTTTCTGTGAGGTTATGTGAAGTCGCTAGTCTACGCCGATAAGCCTGAACCGATTGACCACTTGGAGGACAAAATTCACGGCGTTATTGTCGATATACGGCCATAAATGTTGGAAAAAGTCATCTAAAAGTCATCTAGACTTTCAGATTAGACTACTTCAGAACCAGCCGTTGGAGTCATATGTCAGAAATCATATTTAAATTATAATACTAAAAGATTATCTTTCGAATAAAGGCAATTTCATGTCAATTTAAAAAAGCATCTTTGTTTTATTCCATTTCAGAATTCTATACCTAAAAAACACCCTTTACTTGCAAAACAAAACAAAAGAAAAATAAATTTACATGGAAAATCAGAAAGAAGCAAAAAATGATTTCAAAGCAAATACATCAGTAATCAGGGGGAAAGATTATTCATGAAATTGAATTTACTTTACATGGAAGACAAACTTTCGCTTACAAAATGATAAAACAGATTAACAGTATAGAAAAAAAAACATTTTGAGTCATACATAAGACAGTCTCGTAGGAAGATATCGAAACATAACTGCAAACCCTCAGCTACCGATTCGTATAGATTTCCCAGATATCTCTCTGAAGTGGTTAACAAAGAAGGTACAACTTTCTAAGAGCATCCTGTATAGTATTACCTACATAATTATTCTAGTCCCCTCGCTCGTTTCGCAAGAAATTTGGGTGTAGTTCTTTCAAAATTCATATACAATATGTTTGTATTATCTTTAAAATTAAAATGGATTTGAGGGCACCAACCTTAATAATTTACGCTTGTAAAGAAACGAGCTCAGACAGAAATAAAACGAAAATTTAAACCAAAGCTAGGACTTAACAAACGGGATACTCCACAAAAGGCATTTATATGAGATGGTCAAACATGCGTCCTTATTGCTGGACGACAAAAAAGAAGGAATGAAATAGCGTTCAGTGAGAGATAACCAGAGCTCGGATTTTGTGAGGCCAAAATCGGAGCTACTATGAACTGCAGTTATATTCTTGAGAGGTAATTTAAATGTTTCCGTACTTGGCGGATAGGCGAAATTAATTTAAATATTTATTAGGAATTATTTTTAAATGAATTTTTGAAACTTTGTTTGAAAAATAATTTAAAACTTTTGAAACAGTTACAAACCCCACTGAGCCCCTACCAGGTCTGGAATTAACCCACTTTGAATGAAAGACTAAAATGTATTAGAACATCCTATGGACTGTGCGCAACTCACTATTCAAATGGGGACTAAGCCAGATACAATCATGCGACTGCGGAAAACCTGTGACGACACGGTGAATGTCCCGTGACGACATACTCTGGTAGCATGATCGACTTCTTCTATGCCACAAGTGCTGCACTGAAGTGGATTAATGAACTCCACATAAAATTATAAATATGAGTAACACTCGTTTGTAACTCTGCTGTATAATTTTACATAATTCAACATAGATAGTTTATTATTAGATATATTTATGTTTGTAATGCGTTATAATCATTTATAATTGTATTGTCCGTGTATGTTTTACGCTAAATAAATAACCACTCACTTTAAAGTCCTAACGAATAACAATGGATGCAACACTATGAGAATATGTGGTATAATCCCAGCAGTTGTATGGAAGTACATAGAACAAACTTTATATGGAATTGACTCATGGCAATGCAAGAACTTATGAAGGACATCACATTAAACAGTAGAAAAGCAACAGGACCAGATCAAATGAACATGAAAAGTCTCAAATATGAAGGTCTCTTGCTACACTTAAGAATGCTGCATCTTATAAATCAATGTTGATTGGAATCCAAATTACCTGAAACGTGGCTAACGGCATAAGTTATATCACTAGATTTATTAGTATTTATAGATTTTTAAAAAGCATTCAACTGGGTCAATAGACACAAGCTATTTGAAATTATAAAAAAAAGTGGATACCCAATATATCTAATCAGAGCAACCAAAAATATGTACAGAAATACAAATATCACGATTAAAATGCATCCAAAGCAGTTCTGACTACTTAAGTAGTAGACCAGGTTGAATCTGTTTTGAGGTGTATGTGAGAGGTGACATTTGAATTTTTCCAGAAAGAGTAAGGTGATACCTTCAGTAACAATAATTGACTTATCCTCCCTCTCAAATATGTTAGGAAAATTAATAAAAAAAAAATATTTAAAAATTACTAAAATCATCGATTTTTTTTCTACTTTTATCGACTTTTTTTTCACAGATCTGCCCTGTCTATAATTGTTAACACTAAAACTGAGCTAGAAGGTTGCCTGAATGGAAGATGTAAAATAATCTAATTGACTGTACATCCATTTATAACAAGTAGCTTTCGAAAAAAAAAAACTATAAAACTAACCCTTATATGTATCGGATTGACTTAGCAATATCCCAGCAGAGTAAACTAAAACTATTAGACACATTAATATTTCTTATTGTCACATATGCATCTGAGGCATGGATTGTAAAGGTCGCCAAACTAAGAAAAATAAGATGCATGTCATACAAATGAATATGATGAATATCATACAAAAAACATTGCACCAACATTTCAATTATAAAGTAATTACAGGTTAGGTTAGGTTATCATATATCATACAAAAAGCATTGCACCATTTCATTTATAAAGTAATTACAGGTTAACACAAAACTACAACAAAAATATTTCAGTCCTACCTCAGATAGGTACTCCAGACACATAACACAAATAACAGAAGGCCTAGAAAAAATCATTGAGGGTAAAATGTTAAAAGAATTATTGCCCACAGTCTACATGAAGCTTTCTTAGCAGCCCAAGGTTGGAATTCCCTGACCTGAAGTGATAGAGACATGATGTCACTTTTTCTTCTAGAGTTAACATACAAGAGTAGAGACATGTCTTAAATACACATTCATAACTCATAAGACAAGCTAGTGTTTTCTAAATGCATTCATTGATATCAATATCAATTATTTTAGATATTAATTAAAAATGATTTTTTTGTCTCCTGAAAGATTGACTAAAGCCCACTTGCAATGACTATATTATCATAGCATTAGAAATATTTTAAGACTTATATTAATAGACCAAATGGATTGGCCAGCATTCTGAGTCAATGAGAAAATCATACAAAATTTAATTCTAGAAAAAATTATACTTAATAATATATACAATTTACAAATAAATTTAAAACACTGTTGCTACTTTAAGGTCTAGGTTTTTTAGGTAAAGAGCCAAAAGCTGATATAACTGTTCCTTTTGTGCCAGTTGTAGAGGTTGTCAATGATGGTTGAACTAACCCAGCTGGTTGAATGTTTTTGTTTGACACTGATCCTCCACCTGGCTGATCCCATTTGCTTTTTCTTTTTTTGTCATCATCTACCTTCTTAGTACCACTTAGAAGTTCTACTACCTTTCCTTTTCTTTCCTTATCACGTTTGTCCATTTCTGTTTTTTGAACTTTTGCTAACTCTTCATAGTAGGATTCTTTGTTCCATTTAAGGGGGTCATATATTGAAGGGGGATAGTTTGTACCTGAAACAAATTAAAAACTATTGATTTAATAAGCATAATAAATCAAGGTAGACTTATAAGACACTACAATTGGTAAGTTAACAGGTTAGATGCCTTTGACGCTTATAAGCGTCACTGTGCACTTTGCTCGGGTACCTCCGTCGCTTATAAGCGTTCAGTACGTATTTATATATTTATTTACATTTCTTAGTCAGGACCATGTAAAAGTAAGTTACAAAATAGCGGCATCCAACCTGTTAAGACAGATTTGATTACAGCCATTCTCTCTCCTGCTGTTACCCACTATGTAGCTTCTTTAAATTAAAAAACATTTTTAAACTGTTTGTCCTTTATCTAATGTTGTGTAAATTTATTATTTAATGTTTATGACATTCATAAAATTGTTGGATAGTCTATAATTTTGACGAAATACCCCTGATGCTCTGAGAGCTAAAGTACTTTAAAGATTTAATAAAAAACTGTGCTCGATATCTGCCATTTATTTGATTAAAGTTCATTTATTCAAGCATTCAACCATATATCACCATAAATAGTTGATTTACAAATGTGACATTAGATAGGACTTTGAATATAATTAATACAAAATTAGAGAGTGATTGTACATGTATCATTTCTATGGATTAATTCATTTAACACTAACTAGCATCTACCACAAAGTATTTCGTAAAAATTTCTATTCATACATAAATTTTTCTATAGAAACTTTTGACCTGAAATAAAAAGTGAGACCAATTACTACCAATCTAATGTGGCCAAACAATCTAATTAAATCTGCACAACTTTCTCGTTCTTACCTAATTCATTTAGATCACAGAATTGTATAAGTTTTTCATAAATACTAGGATTCCTAAATTCTTTCTTTTTTTGAATATGAGCATTCATATCCATTTGTTGAGTTAACATTGTCTCATGCAATTTAGTTATTTTATCCTGCAACTCTATGGAACAATGCCCAGGAGGTTCTGGAGGAATCATGCTATCTGCTTCTTTAGAATTATTATTTTCTCGGCTGTTTTCTGTCATTATAATAACTTCGTGTGGTATATCTTCAGCGTCACCCTCTTCATCAGAGACAATTGTATCGTCTTGATAAGATACCAACTTAGCGACCTTTGACGTTATTTTTATAGGAGCAGGACTGATGGGTTGTGGTGAAGAATTACTAGATCGGTAGCCTTCTGGTGTGTTTGGAGAGCCCATTGTTACTTCTCTCTCCGTGGAATTTTCTTTTTGGTCTTCATGATCTTCTTCACCTTCTGAATCTGTATATGTAGCGGTTAAAGAGGCTAGTGCCGAAGTCATGTTATCTAGACAGTTGTATCAAGATAATCAAATATATTGTTTTAAATCTACAGAAAAATTGCTACAGATTATTGCTGCTTCAATACATCAACAACATAACGTTTGAAAGTAAAGTTGAAACAGGAATTGAAAGTTGACATTGACAGTTAAATTTTGTAGGTTAATCTCACCGACTCTTCCAAAACTTAGCCTTGGCCGTCATAGTCTAGGCAGTCAAGTAGGATATTCCATTATCTATCTTATTAAACCACAGGTTAAACCAAGTAATTTAGTTATATAATACTAATTAATTGCGATAGAAATTACTTTGCATTTGATTTTAGTATAATTTTTTTTAGCAGCTGTTTAGATATATAGATTTGTATTTAAGATTTAAGAATACTCTTCTCTTGGTTACGTTTTCTGGCTCCGTATCACGGGTTATACAATTATACAATCGTATTTATGTTATTGTATTAAATGTCACAAGCACAAAATTAAAAAAATAATAATTTCACTTTAGAGTATATAATATAAAGATTTCCTCATTCCTCATTAATAAGGGAAATTAAATTTATTTAAATTATCGGAGAATTTTTTATTTATTATGGTTGAAGCTAGAGCTGAAGAAATATCCAACGCCAGTAATAATACAAAGGTAAATTTTAAAGTGTTCATTTTATAGGATGTCTTCTCTAATATAAACGTTTTAGGTAAAAGCAACAAATAATAAACCCAAATCAGTATATTCTTGGAATGTTGTTGATGTACAGAAATGGTTAAGACGACATTGCAGTGATTATTATCAGTTATATGTTGAAAATTTTACCCAACATGATATAACTGGTAGATCTCTTTTAAGGATCAATGACAATTCTCTCCTTCGACTTGGCATAACAAATGATATACACAGAGAAGCGATATGGAGACAAATTTTAAAACTTCGCCTAAAGACTGATATCGTAGAAATTAGAGATATACAAAGACGTAACCTTAATACCATGTATTATGATAATTCTATAGTTTAAAATATGTAATAATTATAATTGGCTCAAGTAATTAGTCGATACACATTAAGTGTCTGTATAAATTATTATATGCTATGGATATTTGAAATCAAGTAAATTTGTCTTAAAGTAGTAATCCACAATGTTACATAATTTTATTAATTTTATGAGCAGCCCTTAGGGATTAGTGAAGAAGAAATATCTAAGCAGAGAAACTAAAATATAAAAATAACAAGATTAATGCGTAACATGCCACTTGTAACAATAAATGAGTATTGAAAATTAATTAAATAAACAATTAGGACACTTGTATCAATTATTCCATGCATGCATAGGTGAAATGTGAATTCATCGGAAGCATTCTGCAATAGCCCTTCCTTAACTGACCATACAGATAGTCTATCACTGTACTGCTAGCCTGTTCTTGGGTCCTAGGTGATGGATATGAAGTAACCTTCCATTCTATTCATAATCTAGTGATACCGTTTGATGTCTACTGTTTTATGATTTTTTTTTTCAGAATAGAAGTAGGAAGTGGAGAGGTTTGGTTGGAGAAATTTTAGATTTTTAATCAATATGGAATGTCAGGTTTCTTAGTGGAGCTGTGCTAGTGCAGTATGGGGGGAAAATACTAAATCTAATGCTTTTGAATTGTGATTTTGACAAACTTACCAGTTTCACTGATTTATATAAGTGGTCATAAGAAGAGCTGATAGAATATACACTATAAAAAAGGAGAGGAGAGTGATGGATCTTTGAAAGCAGGCAAAAATTCAGAATTTTTTCTGAGTTGTAATGATGGCTTGTTTGTGAAAAATTTTACTTATTCTTTTAATCTTCTTTTTTAATACATTTAGTACAAACTCTAGAATTACCTTCAGTAGACATTTAAGAATAGAAACTTGAAAAGCTTTAAACAGTTTAAATATCTGGACTTTTATATAAAAGAAATAAATTAAGTTAAGTAATAATTTAAAAAGTTCCATACTAAAAACAGTTTAAAACATTGATCTATTTGTTCTGTGGAAGTATGGGTTTTGATAAAGATCCATGGGAACACTGTGTGTTGTGAAAGAGGTTCTTAAGAAATAAATTAAGTTCTCCAGCTTCATGATGTGTGAGGAGTGATATAAATTTCGCATGATACTGTTTTTAACAGTAGGTCTGGTGAAATATTTGATCATGTAGGATTTTTTATGAATACAAATATATGTCTTTTTATATTATCCATTCAAATTACATTACTTAAATATAGATTTCTAAGGCTGGCCAATTTTTTTTTTCATTATATCAATTTTCGTTGAACAAAATAGGAACAGTAATTGAGAACTCTACAAATTAGAAATTGAAGCCTACAATGCTTTTGTGGAATACTTAATTATTAGGATATTATTTCTGGGATGAATTTTGTGTAGTAATATTCCAGGAAATATGCGAAAAATTTAATTTTCTTACATTTTTACCCAACTTTGTTAGTCCTACAATCAATAAATGATTTAAATTGATGATTTAAAAATTACTTTGAATTAATTCCGTTTTGTTGCTATTAAATTAGGATGCAACACTTTTAATCTGAATTTATCAATGTGAATCATAACAAAGCTGTAGTTATTTTATTGAAATAGACAATGGATTTTCAGAAAATGTACCTAATTAAATCCATATTTTAAGTTCAAAATTGTACTAGTTGGTTTATAGTACAATTAGAGATATTTTACACAAAACATCTTCAAAAACAGTCCTTACTCTTACACAATATTGATAATATCAAAAAAAAACCATCCACAATTAAAAAAAAAAAACTGAGATCAATACATGTATTAGATTAGGCACCTAGGCCTAATCTAATACATTTTTATAATAACTATCATAAAAAGTTTCCGGAATTATACTTTTTTCAATAAGTTCGTTAATATCATTTTTTTGCATTAAGTAATTAAATTTTAAATTATAGATAAGTTTCAAACCTTCTGAATTTCTATTTACTTTGACTTTCCTTTTTTGTACAATGCTTTTCTTGAAATCAGATTAGGTCGTTTTATAGAAATAGGCTCCAGGACTTTCTTTTTCAATGTGAAGAATTTTTATATCATGCCACTTGGGTTTTATCTTCATCCAAAGTGAAATTTGTTCCCTACTCGTCCTGCAGAGCCTTGATATAAAAAAAAACATGTCCTGTGTCATCTCAACAACGGTATAAAGCAGACCAGTTTTTTTCCACTATGAATCAAGTGCAATACTGTTGCGGAGTGTAAATGGTTAGTACCCGACTTAACATGTCTTAATCTGTTTTTCTATTCTGCTTTATAAACCTTAAATTTTTTGTTTAATTTTCTAAAAAAAACCAAAAAGTTCAGTAATTTTAGAGAATTTTACCGTGACTCTACCTCGAAAACTCCACTTCCATCGCGAGGTTCCAAATTTTCAGTTCTCGATATATAATTTGCAACACTGTTGGAAATTCACGATAATAAAAATAAGTTTACTATAAACTCCCAATTACATGATCATCTAACAAGATCGAGGGATTTAATTAGGTCACAACGATTCAGACTATCAAAGAGCACAAAGAATTCAATTGATATTCACTTGTATAACTATCTGCCTAACGAAATAAAAATTCTGTCTCCACCACTGTTTAAAAATAGGATCAGAAAGCATTTTTTAACATATTGTTTTTACTCAAAGACAGAATACCTCAATACACCTTTATAACGTATACCCAGTTTGGTCAGAATACTGTCGATTTACTATCTACATATCACATTGTATTATTACTATTAAAGTTTTATGTATTAGTTTATTTAGTCATCGATTCGGGAATATTCTTAATTATTTGTACATTTTTGTTACTTCCATATTTCAAAGATTTTTTATGTGACAGTTTAGGTTTGTTTAATTTTAATTCTTCTGCTAATACTTACATATTACTTTAGCCAATATGGTTAAGTTAATTTTAAGTTTACATTATTATATCTTTTATTGTATTTTTTATACGGACTTCAAACTTTATGTAAAGTGGTCAATAAACGTTTCTATCTATCTATCTATCTATTATGCCAATGCTGCAATGTACGATATTTTGGATTAATTTCTGAATTTGCTACAAATTTACTGTGAAAGACAATTTTCAAGTTCTAATTTGGACTCGTGATAAACTAGAGACTCTTTAATTCCCATTCCATTATCAAAAACAGGAAAAATATTTTTCTTTTGTATCAGCGGATGGACGAAGGAATGAAAGGCTTTCAGCTGATTACAAATTATGATTATGTTCGCCAATTATACTTAAATTTGCCAAATATCTAGCAAACCGTCCTTCAATAAACACGTTCTGATTATTTCCCATTATGTATGGAATATAGTATATATCTCGGTAAATAACGACTGTATACAAAAAAAATTATATAAAAGTTATTAGCACTTGTTTTTATTACAAAAAACAAATGAATTTTTTAAATAGCCATGTACCCTTTCATTGGATACTAAACGTTTTCTTTAATTATACATTACCAATATTTTAAAATCACTCTCCTTTAACTGATTTTAATAAAAAGTCGTCATTCCGCATATGAATTTCGCACCAAAGTAACATTCCATATATACGTGTTTGGCACCTCGCCGCCTATTGGTTGAAACATGTCTGCATGCCGCAAAGGAACAATGGAAAAGTCCTAGGTGCTAACTACATATACGGAATATTTAGATGCGAACGGCATAAAACACTCTACATGACGACTATACAGCTGCCAAGGATTAGAAACTACGATGGATATGGAAGAAGAGACATACCCAACAAAAGAGGAGTTGCAATATATGTTAAAAATAATATAGAATGGAACCAGGTTGTAATAGAAATAGATCAATTCGAAAATGTAGGTATTAAAATAGGTACTACTAATATTTTTTTCTATTTACAGGAAAAATAGAGAAGATCCAGCTCTTGAAGAATCGACTCAACCAAATCGAGATGAAGAGGGAATTCCAATCTACAGAAGAAGTCGAGAGAAAAATCGAGGAGATAACAAGAAAAGTTCAACAAGCCATGGAGGACAATATACCAAAATCTATGACGAACAACAAAGGACTAGTCATTCCAACCGAAATACAGGACCTCATAAAGGACAGAAATAAGGCCAGAAAAGCATTCCAGAGGACAAGAAGACAGGGATTCAAGGAATACGGAGACACACTATCAGAAGAGATAAGGGTGAGACTTAGAAATCTTACTGAAAATCAATGGCACAACATCAGAAAAGCAGAAGAAAACCAAGGAAACGTATGGAAAATGCTGAAAGCCAAGTGAAGAGGAAAACAAAAGATGCCCCAAATCATAGACAACGAGGGAGCACACTTTGAAACCCAAGGAAAAGTGGATGCAATAGCAAGAAAAATGGCAGCTACATATAGGCAGAACCAGGACATGTCGGATGAAAGAACAAGAGAAGAAGTCAACAACGAATACGCCAGGATCAAAAGAAGAAACGAATTTTTAATAGAAGAAGAAGACGACACCAACCCAAATGAAGTTGCTAAAATCATCAGGAAACTAAAAGGAAGCGGAGCACCAGGACCAGAAGGAGTTCACAACATCACCCTCAAGGAGCTACCAAAGAAGATCATAGTGCAACTGTACTATATCTTCAAATACTGCCTGGAAAAAGGACATTTGCCAAACAACTGGAAACACGCCAAGATAATCCCACTACTAAAACCTAGGAAGGATGGAAGAAGACCAGAAAGCTACAGGCCAATCTCTCTCCTCGAAACAATCGGAAAAATCCTGGAAAAAGCATCTACAAAAGACTGATGAACCATGCAGAAAGAAGAAGAAACATCCAAGAAGACCAATTCGGATTTAGAAAGGGAAGAAACTGCGAACTTCAACTAGCAAGAATTATCAGCTATACGAAGATAAGATTCAACAGAAAACAAAGGACAGGAATGCCATGCTACTAATCTTCAAGATGGACAAAGCTGGACTTCCTCATTAATTAATTAATATTTGTGATGTGTATTTA